AACAACATGTTTCTTTAACTGTTTCCTTCACTCTTGATTGTTTCTGCTTATGTGTATGCAATCAAGTTTCATTACTAAGCATGCTTTAATCTGCTCCCTCCCCTTTCTAAATTAACGTGTTCCCTTATGTATGCACTCTGTCAGGCACTTGATTATGTGACTTGCTGACTTATGAATCCCAAACCCCATATCCTCCTATGTGCTTGTGTTCTCTGGCTGGTTTGTGGGCATGCCAGCATCATCTATTGTTGTGCATGTCCCAAACCTAACCCTTTTTGTGCAATTACTGATTCCGTGTAATTTATGTTTTACTACTACTGTTTTCAAATCACCCTTACCCCCTTACTATTCTCAACCCAGTTTTAAATAAAATCTCTGTTTCTGCACTTCCACTATACTCTTAGAACTTAGGTTCTGCCCCTCTTGTGTGAGACTTGCCTTGGGACCCATGAGCTCCCTCTGAACTTGGACACATAAGGGCTGGCCCTTCCACACTGCACTCATCTCTATCTGGTTATGCAAACCTGGGTAAGCATTGCCCGGGGTCCCTTGAGACCCTTAGGGAACTTTGACACACCCAGGTCTGAGAAAGTCTTTGAACAAGTGGCATTTGAGGTGGTTTGTTCCATAACTCAGAGAGGAAGTCAGAATCAGGCTTCCTATGGTTGTAACTTCTTATTTTACACTTCTTCTGTAATTCAGTATTTTGGTCTGTAATAAGTTGTAACGAATATTGGAGTTGGTTAGTGAAAAGGGATAGGGTAATTGTGCATGTTTTAAGGGTAGATATCCTGCCTTTAGGACATGATTAGTAAAGTTCTGCATGTTTACTTCCACACTTAGAAATCATGCATATAGGGTCTAATGGCTATAATCAGACATCATGCCCACAAGTTAAAATCAGTTTCTAAACTAGATGTCGTGTCTACAGGATTAAAATCAGTATTTTTTATAGAGTTCATGCCTATAGGAATTTCGCTATGATCAAATAAATCCTGCCTACTCAATTAGATACCATGCCTATAGGATCTGAAACCAGTTTAGCTAAAAATCAGTTTGACTCGTACTATGTTGAATTAGTTTAAACAACTCACTCCTTTCATTAATGCGGTTTAGAAAGCATGCCTATAGGATCCAAATTACTCGTTTAAAACTCTCACTGCTTTGCCATTTTTTGGAATCAGTAATAGGTATCATGCTTATAAGGTATCATCAATACACACCTAGCCAAGCCTTAGGTAATAATGAAAAATTGAATCCGCCTTTGTTTAATTAGCAACTGCTGCAACCAGCAGGCAGGCCTGATTCGGACTTCTTATCTGAGTTATGTAATAAATGGGTCTGCTTCAACATCTGAAATTCCCCTGTCTTAGTACTTCTGGCCTTAAATGTGTTTTAAGTCATGCTATGTGCTCTACTTGAGGAGGTATATATGAGCCTTTAGTTGTTTACATGTTCCACCTAATATGCAGTCCTATGTGTTTTGAATGTCGCCTTAGTCTTTTTACCTTTAAAACCCAAAAGTCAGCCTAAAATCCTCCCGCTTATAGGAATAGTAGTCTTAAATTCCTCCGGGGCTGATAGGAATGGGACGGGTAATAGCATGCAATAGAGGTCGAGACCAATCCGCGCTTTAATACCTTAACGGGGTGGGAAGGGTAGATATGGATGTGATGACCGGTGCGTTAATACCGCGTGTAGCCCCTCTTTTGAGGAATGATTACCGGGTATTGCATTGATGTGATCCATATTACAAATAAACCTAGGACCCCCTTTTATATTCGTTAGCATGTTTAGTTATAACTCTTTCAAAACTTTGTTTTATTTTATCACTTACAAACATTCGTGTATTTAAAATCCCCTCTTATTTGAACCTTGTTTGTTTACTTGTTAATTGCACAAATTCACAAAGAAACTATCTGGTCGGGAACCACACTAGTGGATCCTGAGGGGTGCCTAACACCTTCCCCTTAGGATAATTTCAAGCCCTTATCTATGGTTGTCAAACAAACTTAGAATTAAACCTTATAGGTGTCCTAATGCACCTTAAACCATTAGGTGGCGACTCTTCAATTGCAAACCCCTTTCCCAAAAGGAAAGAGTTTCCCAACCAAATGTCACCAACCCGATTTTCCGATACAAAGAGGGAAAAAGGGGGCGCGACAAGGGGCATGTTCGAATTGTGTTTTGGAAGTCCGTAGCTTATTTAGGCTTGAAATGCCGAAAGTTGAATTTTTGAAGTTTCCGTATCGATAGTGAAATTTTGATATCGGGGTCGGAATCCGATTTCGAAAGTTGGAATAGTTCCATAGTGTTGAATGTGACATGTGTGCAAAATTTGGGGTCAATCGGACTTGCTTTGGTTGGTTTTGGCATCGATTGTAGAATTCTTGTGATTTCAAGTTCATTAGGCTTTGATTGGAGGGTGATTCGTGGTTTTGGCGTTGTTTGATGTGATTTGAGGGTTGTACTAAGTTTGTATGATGTATTAGGATTGGTTGGCATATTTGGTTGAGGTCCCGGGTGCCTCAGGTGAGTTTCGGATGCTTAACGGAAGTTGAATTGGACTTAGGCAATTTTCTGAACTTGCTGAACCTGTTGGTTTCGCATCTGCGGAGCTTGGACCGCAGGTGCGGCGCCACAGAAGCGGTTTGGAAACCGCAGATGCGGTCTAAGGCATAAGGGCAGTTGGTCGCAGATGCGGCTCAAGGACCGCAGAAGCGGAACCGCATTTGCGAGGTAAGGAGCGCAGGTGCGGAATCTGGCCATTTAATGAAATTTCGAAGGTGCGGAGTATGAGCCGCAGGAGCGGGACCGCAGGTGCGGTGGACCCTCACAGAAGCGGAAATCGTTGGGCAGAAAAGAATGGAATCAGGTTTGAATTCATAAATCCGAAAATCGATTTTGAGCTCGGTAAAAGATGATTTCTTGAGAGATTTTGAAGGGAAACTATAGGGTAATGAATTCTAACTCTAATTTGGTTCTAATACATTAATCTATTCTTAGTTTTATCATCTAATTAAGGAATTTGAGGGTAAAAGATTGGAAATAGGGGAAAAAGCTCCCCAATGGAAAATATGAGTTTTAGTGAGAATTTGACGTCAGATTGGGATGATTTTTGTACGAGTGAACTCGTGAGTGAATGGGTGTTCATAATCCGTAATTTTTACCCGATTTCGAGACGTGGGCCCGAGGAGGATTTTTGGGCGTTTTTCTATTTTCTTGCTTAGCTTCGATTCCTTTAGCTAAACTCGTTGTTTGTAGTTATATTTACGTTATGAAATTGATTTGATTAGATTTGGGCCACTCGGAGTTGGATACTCGTGGAAGGAGCGTGATTTCCTTGGTTCGAGGTAAGTGGCTTGCCTAACCTTGTGTGGAGGAACTCCCCTTAGGATTTTGGTACTGTTTTTATATGAATTCCGTGTACGTGAGGTGACGAGTGCGTACACGTGCTAATTGTTGAAAAACCCTGCTTTCATTAAGTAAATATCTGTGTTTTCTTTTAATTGATCAATACTTGTATTTGAAGTTTCCTGTAAGGTTTAGGAAAGTATGCTTATGTGACTTAACTGTCTTATCTGCTTTAACTGCATACTTGGATTCTGTGTAGCATGTTTAAAGTTGAATTTTTCCTGTTTTCTTGATACGAACTTGGCTAGAACTGTAGATTTCTTTCTTGAGACTGTTGTGTGTTTACTTTGGGACTACGGGACGGTATCCCGGGAGATCCCCCTGCATGTTTACGTTGGGACTACGAATCGGTATTCCGGGAGATCCCCTGCACATTTTTATTTGGGAGTACGGGACGGTATCCCGAGAGATCCACCTGTACTGGCTATTTACTTTTGGACTACGGGACGATATCCCGGGAGATCCTCTGCACCTTTACGTTTGAGACTACGGGACGTTATCCTGGGAGATCCCCTGCCGCTATCTTTGCTTACTGAGTTATTTCCTTTCTGAGATTTCATCTTTATTTGACTGTAGCATCTTTAATTATACTGTTACGTTGTATACTGCTTTACCTTGTTATATATATAACCAGTAGGGCCCTGACCTTCCTCGTCACTACTCGACCGAGGTTAGGTTGGGAACTTACTGGGTACCGTCGTGGTGTACTCATGCCCTTTCCTGCACATGTTTTTCGTGTGCAGATCCAGGTTCTTCTACTCAGCCATAGTATCCGTGAGGCGAGGCGACTCAGATACTTCAAGGTATATCTATCATGTCCGCAGACCTAGAAGTCCCTCTCTACTCTCCCTACTGTTATAGGCTTTTCCCTCTATTTCACTTGTTATTAGATTTCTGGAGTTAGAAACCTTATGTATTTTCTTTAGCTTGTGATTCATGAGATTCCGAATTTTGGGAGTGTTTTTGTTCAGTTTGAGAGAGTGTTATTGTATATGTCGAGCGGCATTATAACCTTCTTTATTATATTACCCGTAATTTGCTAGTTTCGTACCTTTTAATTCTTTTTCCGCTAATTGTTAGGCTTACCTAGTCGTAGAGACTAGGTGCCGTCACGACAATTCATGGAGGGAGAACTTGGGTCGTGACATGGGCGAATTTATAAGCCAAATCATGGGGCACGTGAACCAATAATCTCTCCATCCAACTATGTATTTTATGTACATATTTCTTAAAATCGATCTAATATTAGTTGTTGGCTCCCATGCTCTAAAAAGACAAAATTGTGCATTTGGTTGAATATTGGGTTATTAATCCACAAGAACAGGGATTGATTTCCATTTACTACTTTTTTCTTCTTTTTTAGTGATGCACTCCTGCATGTTCTAGAAATCCTAAATCCACATATGCATAAAATACAACTCACTTCAACTCAAAGGCCATTAATTAAACATAGTATAAAAAAAAGAATTCAATACAAATTCATCCCAAAAAAAAAAAAAAAATTCATTCTAAAACTATTATTATTAATAAAAACACCACTAAGCACGCAGCATAGAATTATATTTGCCAAAAAAAATTAATAATACTCAGAATAATGGAGAACCAATTGGTGAAGTTACCAAATAAGGGAAGTGATTGTTCCAGTTACTCTTGTTATCCTCAAAATTTCCAGAGCAGCTTTCCAAAAAAGTTTCCAACTGTTCACTTGAGTAGTTTTCAGCCTTTTGGCTACAATCATATTCTGGGAAAAGCTCTGCCAAGTCTGTTTGGAGAATATCGTTATCTTGTGTTATTTTATCTTCATATAGGAAAAAGTCTTTAATGCAGCTAACTGTAGGCAAGGACGACTTTTCACCAACTTCCTCAGTTTGTTCTATATTTAGCAACAAGTTCTCTGATGGTGTTGGAGACTTGAGGTTTTTGGTGAAAAAACCATCAAGAAAAATTGTACTATTAATGTCTTCATTTATAGTTGGTGATTTTGTACGAGACATTTGCCAAGCTTTTAGTACGTCAAGACAAGGAAGCTGAAAATTGCGAGGTTGATAATTGTTGTTGTTGTTGTTGTATATTTTGGAGTTGACCACAATGCAAGCACCATTGTTCGATACCATCCGAGAAGCATAAGATTCTAGAGTACTCCAGGCTGAAAATATATGCATAGATAGTGGTTTATTGCCAAAGTGGCTGACGATGGAAGCTCGGGACGGAGCCATATTGGAGTTCCGAACAAGCCTAGCTTCTGCTTCAAGTCTAGCAGTTTCCCATTCAGCCATGTGACACAGGCTTGAAATGGACTTATTGGATTGACTTGTATCTCTCTTTGGCTGATGAGTCATGGGATCAATGCCCATTTTGATTAATCTCTTCTTCAAACGTGTGTTCCAGTAGTTCTTTATCACATTGTCGCTTCTGTTTGGCAATAAAGATGCTATCGCTGACCATCTGAGCCATAAAGAATTTTGAACTATTATATGTTATTGTAGCACAAATTAATATTAGGCCAACATTCAAGAGTAATTAACAAGATCTTTTTTATTTGCATCTTCATAGTATGGGAGATAAATTTAGCTACTATGATTGAGACTGAGAAAATGGTGATGATAATAATAATAACGCTTGCTAATAATTATGATTGTGCCGAAGCTTACAATCTACTACTCTAAAATAACCCCTCAACACAAGGTAAAGGTAAGGTCTGCGTATGCACTACCCTCTTCATATCCCATCTGTGATAATACACCGAATATAATATTGTTGGGTAAAACTTACCTGCACCGGATATTATACTCCCATTCATCTTGCTACTTTACAATGTACTAAGGTAGTTTACCTTTTTTATTTTGAAATAAGAAGGCAAAAGGGCAATGCCTTTCTTTACTTAGAATTTAAAATTCTCCGCCTTTTGAGTTTGGCGCATAACAAGCAAAAAAACTCAAAGCGAGCAGTAAAATCCGGAATATGATCACTGCTCCCTCCCGTCCAAAATAAGTGATTTTTTTGTTGTTTTCACACATATTAATAATTTCACCTTTTAACATTAATTAACAATAAAATTGACCATATTAACATTTATTATCACTTCACATAAATACTCCTAACACATACTCCAACATCATTTACTCCAAGGGCAATGTAGGAAAAAAATAATCAATTCATTCTTGAAATTTGGAAAAATTACTTATTTTGGACCACAAGAAGAAAAACCAAAAAATCACTTATTGTAGACCGGAAGGAGTAAGGTATAGGCGATGGCCGCTGCATTGTGAAGTTTAGCAAGTTCCCGAAAATTGGCACCACCTACCCTCCAGCGGTCTCAAATAATAGTTTTTTGGCAAATTAAATTTGTTTAAAATGTTCAACGATTTTAGAAAAATAAAAATGAATTTTTTTTCTTTCAAATCTGCTATTACTAATTCAATAAGTGGAAAGTTAACTATGTGAGATATTTAAGGGGGGAGATGAATGTCATTTAAACAAATTTTCTAACGGTTCATTAAGCCTGAATATTAAATCATTAGACTGTTACCTGTTTCCAAGAAGAGCATGAAGCTGTAAGATGGTTCGCTCTCCCTCCGAACTGAACTTTCCTCTCTTGATGTTTGGCCTCAGATAATTGATCCATCTTAATCTACAGCTCCTTCCACATCTCTGAAGCCCTATAATAGTACAAATGAGTTATGCAAAGAGTACTACTAATCATTATCTTAACGTTTCAAACAAAAGAAAGGAGTAAAGCAAAATAAATTAACTTAATATAATTACTTACCAGCTTTAGAAGGCAAATCACTCCAGCTACCACACCCATGTTCCTCAATGTAAGCCAAGAGTTTTTGGTCTTCCTCAGGTGTCCATAAACCTTTCTTGAACCCTTTTTTATCAATACATGGTGATCTTCCCATTTTAACCTAGCTCCTAAAGTTTTAATAACAGAAGAAAAGCAAGAAAGTTAAAGAACAACTCTTTAAATTTAACCAAAATGTGGAGACTGTGCTCTTCCTCTAGATATTCTTTCATTTAGTGTGATGGCTGATACAATGTGAAAATGTAAGTGAGAGTATATATATACATATGAGAACGAAGCATTAAATGGTATGACCAGAGTTGTACGACAAAGTTTATAAGGATTTAATAGTAGTACTCTGAAGCTGGAAAAATCAAACTTATTTTGAAAAGTATTTTTTTTAAAGTGATTTTCCAAAAAGTACTCGAGAGAAAAGTTGTTTGTGTTTGGCTAATTAATTTGAAAAATACTTTTAACAATAATTTGTGTTTGGCCAAGCTTTTCAAAAAGTGCTTTTAAGTGTCAAATTACAAATAAGGACATGAAGAGATTTGATTAATAGTTAATATTATATAAGTAGATAAATAATTACTAATATTTATTGTTAAAGATAATAATTAAGTTTTTTATTTTATTTAAGTAAAAGATAAAAATAAAATTGAAAAGTACTTTAATCTTTCAAGATAATTTAAACATATCAAAAAATTATTCAATATAAATGAAGCTCATCCCAAAAATTCTTTTATATTACTTAATAGTTTAAACTAAGTAAGGTTATTTTGGTATATATAATATTTTGCAAAGGATATTTTTGATAGGAAGAAAAGTCAAAACTGCTTCTGCTTCTGCTTCTGCTTCTGGGGAGAAGCTACTTTTTCTGCTTCATTAAAACTGCTTCTTCTTCTATCCAAAATCACTTTTTCCCAAAAAAGATTTGGCCAAACACCTCAAATTGAGAAAAAAGTACCTTTTTGAAGAAAAAAAAAAGAAGTACTTTTGGGATGGGGGAGAAGCTTGGCCAAACAGGCTATTAGTCATATTATTAGCATTAAATAGTACTCTTTAGCAAAATTAATTTGATAAAAGAATGTCACGACCTTAAAACCAATCCGGTCGTAATGGCGCCTATCATGGAACTAGGCCAGCCGACACAAACCCCAAATCAAACCAATATTTCATAAAAAGACGTTTTAAGCTGTTAATTAATAAAATTTCCTTAACACGAGTCTAAATAACAAGTGCGGAAAACAACACAAGCCCGACATCGGGGTGTCACTAGTCATGAGCATCTAGAGTACTAATACAGTCTACTAAAATGACAAAGGAGTCTAAAGCAACTGAACAACTGTAAGATAGGAGGGAGAAAAGTAGGGTTGCGATCGTCAGGCTACCTTGCTAACTCCGATGGACTTGCCACTGAGTAATCAATGCCCGCTACCGGGCTTAGAAATACCTGGATCTGCACACGAGGTGCAGGGAGTAATGTGAGTACGTCAACTCAGTAAGTAACAATCATAAATAAAGGCTGACTGCAGTGACGTGCAGTAAAATCACATAAAGTTCACAATATGAAGTCTCAGTGAAAAAAATGTAAAAGGCCAAAATCAGTATCCCAGTCAAGATATCTCGTAAAAACTCCAATTTCAATAAAAAAGACATAAAACATTTCTTTTTGTTTCAACAGTTTTCAAAAGAGGCTCAATATAAAAGAAGAGGAGTAAAAAACCGTAATTTCATAAACAAGCCCTTCGGGCGAAATGTCACTCATATATATAGCCTCTCGGGCGATGTATCGCTCATCTATGGCCTCTTGGGCAAGCCTCTCAGTCACTCGTGGCTCAACACTCATCAACCAGCACTCACACTCAGCACTCACGCTCAATAGGTACCGTATAATAACTACTGCGGCGTGCAGCCCAATCCATAAGTATAAAGTCGACTGCGCTCACTGGGGGTGTACAGACTCCGGAGGGGCTCTTATAGCCCAAGCGCTATATCGCTGCGGCGTGCAGCCCGATCGATCCACACACACACACACACACGCATATTATATATATATATATATATATATATATATATATATATCTCGCTGCAGCATGCAGCCTGATCCATAATTATATAATCCTCACCATCAGGCCCTCGGCCTCTCTCAGTCATCAAACTCACAAGCCACTCGGGCATTTCAACGGAAAATCAGGGAACTCACCAAACAACTTTCATATATTTAAAAATAGAGTAATGAAACTGAATCAAACAATAAACATGTAAAACTCATGACTGAGGCTATGCTTTTGAATCAAAACAGTGTGAGGATAGTAGTAAAATACCCCTGAGGGTCCAAACAGTACGGCACAAGGCCCCAAACATGGTATTCAGCCCAAGTTAACAGGATCATTTCTAAACCACATAGATATCATATAGAGTTTATCAAAATATGCAACTTTACAGTTGCCATGGGACAGACCAAGTCATAATCCCTACTGGTGCACGCCCACACGCCCGTCACCTAGCATGCGCATCACCTCATTTATCAAAATAGCACGAAATTCTGGGGTTTCATACCCTCAGGACTAGATTTACAATCATTACTTACCTCAAACCAGACGAAAATCTACACCGCGGTGCCCTTGCCGCTCAACTCAGCCTCAAATCACCCAGAATCTATCCAAAATAAGAATCATATCATCAATACATGCCAAAGGAACAAAGCCCACGCGAAAATTATCAAATTTAATCAAAATTCCCGAAATTGGCCTAACCCGACCCTCGAGCCCACGTCTCGGAATCTGATGAAAATTACAAAACTGAAATCCTCATCCTCTCACGAGTCTATACATACAAAAATCATCAAAATCGAACCTCAAATGGCCCTTAAAATCCCCAATTTAAAATCTCCAATTTCAAGCCCTAATTCCCCAATTTTTACCCTTAAATTCCACAAATTTCATGCTTAATCAACTAAGAATCATCATAGATATGAGTATTAAGCTCAAAAATCTTACCTCAACACGTTTCCCCTTGATTCCCTCTTCAAAACCCTCAAAAGCTTCAATCCGGACTTCAAAAATGGTGGAATGGGTAAAATTTCGCGAAGGGGAACTTATATACTTTCTGCCCCATGGATTCTGCACCTGCAATCCCATAAGCACACCTGCGCTACCGCTTCTGCAGAAAATATCCGCTTCTGCGGATTTCACTTAACATCACAGCCCTCGCATCTGCGGTCGCCTTACCGCTCCTGCGGCATCGCGGATACGGTTTTCCAAGCCGCACCTGCGATCCTTCACGCGCCTGTGCCTCTATTCCGCTCCTGCGAAGCTCGCACCTGCGGTCCCCTATCTGCAGGTGCGGATATGACAGAAGCAGCAACACCAACTACAATTTCTCAAGTTCAAACTTTCCGAAAACTATCTGAAATCATCCCAAGGCCCCCGGGACCTCCACCAAAAACACGAACAGGTCACCTATCACTTTTCAAACTTATTCCAACCTTCGGAACAGTCAAAATGACAACAAAATACCAAATCGCCCTCGGATTCAAGCCTAAGGATTCCAAAACTTCCGAATTTTGCAAACGGTGTAAAAACCTATTAAACCTCATCCGAATGACCTGAAATTTTGCACACACGTCACAAATGACACTAAAAACCTACTCCAACTTCCGGAATTCCATTCCGACCCCGATATAAAGATTTCCACTGCCGACCTGAAAATGCTAATTTTCCATTTTCGCCAATTCAAGCCTAAATCTACCACGGACCTCCAAATTACATTCTAAACACACTCCCAAGTCAAAAATAAGCTAACAGAGCTAACCAAATCATAAAAATCCCGATCCGCTTGGGTCATCACTCGTTTTGAAAGTAAATTCTGTGTTTTGAGGCATTAAAAACCTCCTTTTATCTTACCTCGATTTGTGTTTGCGGTCCGGGCATATATCCAGAATGCTTTTACGTGAAAATTTGATAAAAGTGCTAAGTTGGCCTTCAAAATTTAATTTAAGTTGATTTCGGTCAATATTTTAGGTAAACGGGCCCGGACTCATGATTTGACGGTCCCGGACGGTCCGTAGAAAAATATGGGACTTGGGCGTATGCCCGGAATTGGATTCCGAGGTCCCGAGCCCGAGAAATGAATTTTTGAAGAAAATTATTTAACTGAAATTATAAGAGTTTTTGGAAATGAAAACATGTTTGAAATTGATGGTAGCGGGCCCGTATTTTGGTTCTGGAGCCCGGTAAAGGTCTTAAATAATAATTAAGTTGAATCTGTGAAGTTTGGTAAGCATCGGAGTTCGTTCAGTATAAATCGGACCCTTATTTCAGAAAATAGTAATTTTGATGTTCTTGAGTGATTTCATAAATTTGAGGTTTAATTCATAGTTGTTGATGTTATTTTGATGATTTGATTGCACGAGCATGTCTGTATGATGTTTTTAGACTTTCCTGCATGTTTGGTTTGGAGCCTCGAGGGCTCGGGTGAGTTTTGGATAGGCCACGGAGTGAAATTGGACATAGGAGAATTGCTGGTGTGTTGCAGATGTGAAGCAGGCCTCTGATCTCGCAAATGTGAGATCAGGCATCACAATTCGATGCAAGCAGGGGTCGCAAATGCGAGTCTTTTGTCGCAAATACGAAGATCCCAGGGCCAGCCTTGTCTCGCAAAATCGAGAGATACTTCGCAAATGCGAAGTCTTCAGCACATGCCAGAAGTCGCAAATGCGAAGGAAGCAGGAGTCGCAAATGCGAAGGTAGCAGGGTCCTTAAGGGTTCGCAATTGCGAACCCTGGTCGCAATTGTGACATCATAGACCTGTTAAATTAATTTCAAACGGGATTTCAACAATTTTTACAACTTTCTCAAAACCTAAACTCTCTTGGGAGATTTTTCGAAGGCCTCACTCTTCCAAATCATTAGTAAGTCATTTCTAACTCATTTCTTTCAATCAAATCCATCTTTTTACACGATTTCATTTCAAAATCAAGGGTTTTACATGGGAAAATTGGGTGTTTTTTGGTGGAACTTAGGATTTTCAAATTTAGGGGATTTGGACCTCGATTTGAGGTCCGATTTCAAAACGAATTATATATTTGAGTACGTGGGTGAACCTTGGGTTTTGACCATGTGGGCCCGGGGTCAATTTTTGACTTTTTGGGAAAATCTTTAGAAAACCTATTTTCATGCATTAGAAT